ACAATGCAGCTTTAACACATGAAGCTTTGACTTCACTTTAAAGAACCAGAGGATGATACAAGGAAATACTGGAGAATCCTCAAGCCTCTCAAATCAATTAAAATGATGTAGCCTGTGAGGAGTCAGGGGTCAGGATCAGGTGTCAGGTGTTTCTTGGCTATCAAGCCAAATGGTTTGGAACAACAACACAAATGAATGAACTTCAGTGTGTCTTCTGTCCGCAGACCTTCACCTCGGCCTCTCAGGGTTTCCTCAACTGTCTGGTCTTTGGATGGACTCGTGGACGTCTCCGCCGGGCCGGCAGGAGGGTTTTGTCTCGAGACCGAGACACTCAGACGCCTCTGCTGAGATCACAGAAGAAGACGAGCTACCAGACACTTCGCACCGGCTGAAGAGACAGAAGTGACAAACTGAAAGTGAAAGTGAGCAGCTGGAAAGTCTGAACTTTTACTGCATCTCTGCAGAGGACGAAGACTTCAGCCTCTGATCCTGAACCACTGAGGCGAGAAAAAGGGGAAGAAGAAGAAGAGGGGGAGTTCACGATGACAGAAAACAGGATTTGAAAGAGACGCGCTGCTTTCACTCTGAACTGTCGGTTTAAACGTTATCCGGGTCACATAACCACTGAGAGTCCGTCCATGAGAAGGAAGAGGAGGAGGAGGAAGAGGAAGAGTCTCACCAGGACGGACGACTTCTTGGTATCAGTTGGTGATCATTCGAACAGATTTGACTTTAAAGGAATCTGATTTAAAACCAAACAAAAACTTAAGATGAAGAAGAAAAGACGTTGATTAATTAAGTCTGAGTTTAACACTGAAGTCCAGTTCTTCTCTTCTCTGAGTCTAGAGGCTGCAGACATTTAAGACTTTAAACTGTTGGATTAAACACTTTGTTATAACTGAAGCCTCCTGAAGCTTTTCTGAAGAAAGATTAAGTTTGATATTTTTATCAATAATGCTGTTTTGTTAAAGCACAAATTCGGTTTTATCGTGCTGGTTGAAGTTCTGCTCCCCAAAGACTAAAGTGAACATTTTAAAGAGGCAGAAATCAGTTTTTACAGCTGAAGGAGAAAGATGCTGAATGCCTGACGATGTTTCCATTCTCTTTGTAGAATTGTAATTAAAATATCAGGTATGAAGATGCGTTTAGTGATTTCAGTGAAATGCAGAGACACCGGTTGTGTTGTGACTTTGATGTGAAGGACTCAAAGACCCTTTAAACAGATCGATGTTTTCCCTCTTCGTCATCGTCGTTGCTGCAGAAACACGGTGAGGTCGTCACACCACGTGACTTCATTCAGAGACGCCTGACCTCACTCATTATGTCGTGTGGTGTTGAGAGGGGGACACCACCCCCCCATGATCCTCCTCTTCCTCCTCCTCCTCCCTGCTGTGGGAGTTTAGCCAGGATCTGCAGAAGAACAATGGATTTCCTCTTCAATCAGACCTCAACGAATCTGAAATAGTGAAGTTCATGCTCACTGCCGGAAGCTTCACTGCAGATCAACGAAACAGAAACCAGTGACATGAAATGTCTGTTGGCATGAAAATACTGAGGAAGGTTCAGAAATATGATGATAAAGTGACAGCAGCAATACAACGATGATTAACTTTTCTCAATATATTTCATCTTTTGTGTCTCCTAGTGAATAAAATGTTGCTTTCTTTGGTTCAGATATCTTTGTTCAATATTGTAAGAGCAGAATATAAAACTGTATAATACTTTATGAATCTCTGTGGTGTATAACAATTCTGACTAAACACTATGAAATACACTATTGGACTATTAGATTAATAAATAATGATTTCAGACAAACTAAAGGCATTCATGCTCGGAAATGTTAATGGACGCTAAACGACTACAAAGAGACACCAAAACGACCACAAACAGACAAACGACTACAAAGAGACACAAACCACCACAAAGAGACACATAACTGGACAAAACAGGTTTTCTTTATAACATAAGACACTGAAGGGGTAAATTTAAGTGTAAAAATAGTTAAAGGAGTGAAACTTCATTCAACATATCTGATCAGTTGTGGATCACAGACTCAACTGAACTCTTTAATAGAGGACTGTTCTAACAGTGAAACAACAGAGTAAATAAGAGTTCTGCTCAGTCACTAAACTCATGGGAGTTATATAATCTTTGTGTAATGTGTGGCACGCTCTGCACAGAAACATGCCAGCGTGGTCAGTGTTGTAATCCGTCAGCATGTCATCACACCTGATTACACACCTACAGCTGGCCGTCTGTTCTTGTGCACAAACAGTTCTGAATGAAGCTGGACGTCACAACAGAAACAGAGACTCTTTGTCCTCCGGCGGGTCGACATCCTGCAGATAGTCAGTCAGAGACGACGCAGAAAAGATCTTATTACTAGGGGAAAATATAGTTTATTTTCATTTTTCATGTTTAATATGGTTAACAGTTAACTTCCTACTTACTGTGACGGTCCCTGTCTCTAATCACTGCAAGTATGCTTTTGTCCCTCTGTCCCTAGAGAGCAGATTACCTGATGCAGAGCACCTGGTCCGGGAAGAGGGAGGGCATAAAAACCCTGCTCTAGCGTTGCTCGGGGCGGGTTTTCTCTCCGACGTACGTGGATTGATCCCAGCCAGTTGCTGCCGGTTATTTTGGTTTCCTTTGGTTTTGCTGACAACACGCACACTTCATCCAACACGCATTCACGTTGACACTACTGATGTTATTGACTGACACACTTCATAACTTTAACTATTTCTTTATTTAGTCAAATAAATACTTTACGTTACCATCATTTGTTGTGTCTCTGCCGTATTTTTCATGGCCTAGGAGCCGGGTTATGACACTTACAAAGACAAACAAATATGGGAAAAGATAACATTGTAAAAAATAATGGTTTCATTAAAAAACGTAAATTCTAAAAAATGTTTGTTACAGAAGAACTTTGATTTTGAATCATGTGAATCTGGAGCCCTCTGGAGGACTAAACCCACATAGCAGCTTCTAGAGGTTCTACTTTTATTATCCGAGAGAAGAAGAAGAGCTCATGAGTTCGGGTAGAGTACAGAGTACCTGAGCAGGTAGTGAACAGAGTTCCTGAACGGGTAGAGTACAGAGTACCTGAACAGGTAGTGAACAGAGTACCTGGATCTGATGTTCGACAATCTGTCTGGAATAAACTTTCTTCGGGAGGGTAAATAGTAATTGGAACAAACTCCCTGGTGCCACAAGTTGCATCCCAGACCTCCATGCAACATTAAAGAGTTTCAGCCCAACAATGTCCAGCATCTCCAGACGAATCTCATCCTCACCTGGTGACACACTAACCCTAGACCTGTACCAGGGATCTGGATCAGTCTTCAAACTCCTCCACAGAGGACGTGTTGGTGGAGTTCAAAAGTTCTCACTGATCACCACCTGGTGAGATCAGAGCAATCTGGGACTATTTATTCAAATGTTGCACTGTAGTTTTCGAATCAACTGTGTATTTGTATTATTGAGTTACTCATGTAGCTGTTTTTAGATTCTAAATAAATAGTTAAAATAAGTTGAGGTGCCTTGCCGGATGACTTGGTGACCTTCCAAAAAACGTATTTATTAAATGATATAAATCATCAGGATGTTGTTACAGCTTTGTCCAGTAAACTTGAAATAAAGATTTTAATTCTACAATTTAAGTTCTACATCTCAGAACTATGTGACTCCAACACCTCAGTAACTGAAGAGGTTTGTGCTGATCAGATCAACTTCCTGTTTGTTTCCTGAAGCGACAGCTTCTCTCTTAATATTCCTCCACTCATCTGATCTCTGATCTCCATCGTTGTTGCTCAGCTGATTAAACAGGAAACATTTCAGGATATTTAATCAATTATAAAACATTTTAATGGTAAAAAATGTGATGTAATGTCATATTACAAATCAATGTTATATTGAGATAAAGGAGTCCTTCTGTTCCTCCGGAGTGACCCAGAATCTTCTGGTCCAGAACAGTCCAGAAGGTCACAGCTGTCGTCTCATTGGCTCAGTGGAACAGGAAGTAGTCGTCGTGTGGAACGAACAGACTGGAGCTGCTGGCACCGCCGACGGTGGGAAGGTAGGAAAGATGGAGGATCGGCAGCTGGACGGACAGACGGCGCCGCACGCTGACAGAAAACCACAACGAGTACAAATGAAATAACTACAGTGTGGTACTAGTACTTTGACTGCAGATAAAAAGGTTTCTCACTGTTCAGGAGAGTTGATGTCGTCTGGACTCAAAGGGTCCCGCTCCGGGTTTCTGTCCTCAGAACAGACCTGAGCTACATGAGACCACGTCACGGATCTGAGTCCACCTGCTGAGACCAAACGGTTCATTCCATCATGACGATCGATAGATAGATATCCTGTTTAACCTGTCAGACTTTCAGTTTGTTTGTCTGCCGGTTTACAGGAAAACTAGTGAGGATGTTTTGATGAAGCTTGGTGGAAGAGTTCTCTTCTTTCATGATGGAGCTAAGCTAACTAGGCTAGCAGTTTCCCCCTGCTTCCACTCTTTGTGCTAAGCTAGGCTACACCCAGGTTAAAGTGATTGGTAACAGATGTCCCTTCATATCTTTACCTGCATGTCGTCCTCTTGTCCCGCGGTGGAGCTCAGACGTCTCATGGAGCTGCATGCTGATGGATTCTATTTCTACATCCAGCTGTAAAGAACACATGAAACATTCTGCAGAGTTAAATCACTCAGCCAATCACAGCGAACGTCTCCGTGTCCTCACCTGGGCAGTTAGAGTCCTCAGCTGCTGGTTTAACCCGCTCAGCCTCCTCGTCTCCTCGTCCTCTCTCGGCTCTGACGGTTCGCCGTTGTCCAGGACCTGCAAAAGACAGGAAACCACATGTCAGAGTGGTCCCTGAGGACAAAGACCACCGTCTCTAACTTCTCAGGAGGACGCACCGACCTTCGGTCCGAACAGCCGGCTGAGGATGAAGACGTTGCAGCCGAGGACGAGGACGCTGGTGACGCACAGCTGGACGGGAGGATTGTGGGCCGTCAGCAGGGACCCCAACAGTCCAGACACGCTGAACGCTGTCACGGCGAACACACTCAGGGGTTCAGGGTGGTCCAGCATCCGGACGCTCCAGGCCACCAGACAGCCCAGACCCTGAAGCAGAGACACCACAGAGCCGTCATGTTTCTACAGCGTCACAGAGCTGGACTCGGTTCTGGACTCGGTTCTCAGTACCAGTAGAGGAGCTTTGTATCCACAGACAACAGCGAGCCACAGCTGCATGTTGGAGCTGCTGCAGCGTTCAGAGAACAGCTGGACGACCTGGTCCTGATCCTCAGAGACGCTCTGAGAGACAACAAAGAGTTCACATGAAACCTTCGGTCGGAAGGTCTGAAGCCTCCTCAGGGGTCAAACTTAGGACTTCAGTACTCTCTTGAGGTACTTGTACTTTACTGGAGTATTTCTATTTTCTGCTACTTTATACTTGATCTCCATGTTTTACTGAACTACATTAAAAAAGATGAACTTCTGAGATTAAACACAAACTGCTTTTAAAGCTTTTTTTCTCTTGTGACCCTTTTACAAAAAATGTAAACATTTAAAAATAAAATTTGAAAATAAATAAAAATATAAATAAATGTTGACTAAAAGTCAAAGATGGAAGAAAAACAGATTTGTGCATCAGAACTCATTCTCCTCTACTTTTACTGTATGACGCTGATGGTACTTGTGTACTTTTACTGCTGAGAACACGTCTGTATTTTATTGAACACAAGTACCTCCCTCCACCTTTCACCTCCTGCGGTTGTTACCTGCGGTCCGAGCTGCAGCACCACCCGTCTGAGAGGGTCCAGGATCTGCCAGGTGCTTAAAACCGACACCTCCAGGAGGAGCACGAGGAGCAGGAGGAGCAGCGAGCAGCCGGCTGGATGAAGCCTCCACGTTGTGATGAACAGAACAGTGAAGCTCACCGTGTGACCCAGAGAGACGGTCCACAGACGCACCTGAGGAGTCCAACAGGACATGTACTAGCAAAACTACTGTGTATGTGACGACCCTCTGTGCCTGGTCGTTTGGCTGCCTTCCTTGCAGGTGTGGAGGTGGGTGTGGCAGAGGGTCGTCAGGCAGAGTGGAAGCACCTGAGGCCATTTGCAACACTGGCCCTGTGTGCCAGAGCACTCAGTACAAAAGCCCATTGTCTCTTTTACGGCACTAGTTGACCTAGAAGACACTGTCTGGTTTTGTGGTGGCCTTTGACCTGGTCTATTATGGCAGGGGTAGAGGACTTTGTTGATGCTCCAGGTGAGGAGTTTCTGGATTGTTGCACTAGAGATCAGCTCTTCAAGATTGCAGAAGAGTATGATATTGATCTAAGTGGTGTTGGTGATGAACTGCTTAAAGAAAATGTAAAGGCGATGGTTAAAAAGCAGTTGGTTGAGAGAGGGGTGCTGGTTGCTAAACAAGAGGGACTGGGTCAGTCAATAGCAGCACCGGCACTTTCAGTTCCATCAGGGAACTTTACCTTTGAACAGCAAAAAGAATTGCTTTTGTTGCAGTTTGCTTATGAGAAGGAGACGTAAAGAGTGGAAGTGGAGAAACAAATGGAAATTGAGCGGTTCTGGTACAAAATATAACAGGAAAAGATAGCATTAGTCAGAGATGGTAAGCTTTCTGGAGATGTTTTTCACGCGGGAAATGGTTCATCATCGCGTTCCCGCGATATTGTGAGTAATTTGCATCTCGTGGAATAGTTTGTCTTTTATATTACTTTAAACCTAATAAATAATGAATCAACTGTTTCATTGAATGCGTCTCCCTTTTTTGTTATGGCCGTTCGGCCCGGTTTGTGACAAGTACAAATACTCAATGTATCAGCGACTTAACATACTTTAAGTACCAACAGCAAAAGTACTCATTCATGATATTATTGTATTATAATTTGATGGAGCAGCTGGTGAAGGTGGATTATCTTCACCCATCATAATACTATTATTAATACTATTACCACAATACATCAGAACTGATTAATTCATTCATAGTTTGTATTAATGATGAATTTGCAAAGTAAATCATAACCAACGCTAGTTCAGTAAAAAGGAGATGTACTGTGACGTAGTGGAGGACAAGTACAAAGTAGCAGAACAAGGAAGTACTACAGTTGTTACAGTACTGTCTCTGTGTTTTTTGGTGTCATATTACTTCTCGCCGTCTGAACTCACGGAGCAGAGGAGCTCGGACGTCCAGGAGGACCACGAGGCTCCATCCAGACCGGAGACCAGGACAGAGGAGGAGGACAGCAGGACGCCCAGCAGTAGCAGCTCGTCCTGGGATCCATCACTAGATTCATTTATTTATATATATATATATATTACATTATATCTAATGTTTGCTTTTATTACAAGTTATTCATGTATCATTGTTTATAATCAACCAAGTACATTCATGTGTACTGTATCTGTGAGCATGTGTGTTCATTCTTAATTATTTCTTGTTGCAACTGTAAAGTGAGCATCTTTCAATCAAATTAATAAAAAACAACCAATAGAATGTTGGTGCATAACGGTCACATTAAACAGAGAGAAAGTAAATCATGAATATCAAACAGTGATCAACAATAAAGAAATATGAAGAATACATAAAACATGTGATCTGTTATTAAATGAACAGAGGATGTGAAAATGTTCTCAGTATAAAACAGAAGTACCAGTGTTTACGTCTGATGAAGAGGGTCAGGGTGATGAAGATGGTCACAGCTGCAGCTGATGACATCATGCCATACAGCAGGAAGCTGACATGCTGCTGCTGCAGGAGGACCAGAGTCTGGTCTCTGGCTGGTCCTGGACCTGCAGCAGCAAACGTTTAGCATCAGTCCTGATCAGCGTTCTCATTGTGACGGTCTGTGGTGCGTTCAGGGTCTCACCTGTGAACTTCAGCAGCTGGTTCATCAGTTGCAGCTGCTGTGTGGAAGTAGTGAAGTCTCCCACCAACACGCCTCTGCTACCTGAGGACACACTGCTGATCAATAATCGATATCAACGCTGCTGATCAATAATCGATATCAACGCTGCTGATCAATAATCGATATTAACGCTGCTGATCAATAATCGATATTAACGCTGCTGATCAATAATCGATATCAACGCTGCTGATCAATAATCGATATTAACGCTGCTGATCAATAATCGATATCAACACTGCTGATCAATAATCAATATCCTGAACATTAGTCTTTCACCTTGAAACTGGATCAACTCGATCGACGTCATCCTCTCTCCGTTACGAAAGAACACTGGACCCTAAAAACACAAAGGTGAGTGTGTGTCACAGGTGTGTATGTGTCACAGGCGAGTGTGTCTCAGGTGTGTCTACATGCTCACCGTGATTCCTTCAAACTGCGTCTGCTTCACGGCCTCCAGCAGCGTCCTCTGAACTTCTTCCCCTCTAACGCTTACGTTTCTCTGGCTGCTGTACTTCTCTCTGAGCTTCACGGCCTCCATCACCTGACTCAGAGCTCTGGCAGCGACCCATACTGCGTCGTAGGCAAAGGTGTGGAGGGGGCTGACATCTGACCTGTCCTGGATCACCTGTCTCAAGTAGGAGTCCTGGTAGTCCTGAGGAGTCTGCAGAGACATAATACACATTCAGTGGTGGTCGTGGTTAGATGGTGACTGGTGTGTCAGAGGGAGTGTGGTCG